ACTCGGGGAGAATCATTTGCAGGGAAGCAGAATGGGAACAACGTTGATGGGGAAAAACTCTCTACCAAGCATAAGGATGCTCAAGTAAGAAACTTTTGGACACTCTCTCCATCCTACTCCTTAGTGCTTTTGTTGCCTCTACTTGCTTTAGTGAAAAAAAATATTGTGATTCAAGCCTTTCTTGTGAGCATGTATCTGCTTCATAAATGGATTGTGTTGTTAAAATAGTGATATACTATTTTCAAAAAAAGTACTACTAACTCTTAATTTGGTATAGTGTTGAGAAGATATGATAACGCTGTTTAATTGTATCTTTAGCAGGGAGGAGATGATTCTGTATGGCTGGTCTCATCTGATTCTGAACCATCCTCTAGTGCTCCGATAAAGCAGGAAGTGGCTGTGTCAACTGAAAAGGATGAGGATTTTGTTCTTGATGCTACAGAGGAAGAACCTGCAGTTAAGAAAGTTGGAAAGGAAAAATCTCCAAAAACAAAGTCAAAGAGCGGTCGCAAGACACCCAAGGAAGGAAATGGTGCACAGAAAATTTTTAAAAGTGAAGGTAAGAATTGTATCAATGTTCTTTTAATTTAGGATTTTCCTAAAGCAATGTAACGGTTCCTCTATCATGCAGATAAAGTTATCAATACCACTATAGCCGAGGAAGTAACAATGGAAAAATCTCCAGAAACAAAGTCTAAAAGCAGTCGCAAGACACCCAAAGAAGAAAATAGTGCACAGAAAATTTTTAAAAGTGAAGGTAAGAATTGTATCAATGTTTTCTTAATATAGGATGTTCATAAAGCAACGTAACGGTTCCTCTATCATGCAGATAAAGATACAGATACCACTATAGCCGAGGAAGGAACAATGGATCAGAAGATCAAGCCTTCTTCTGTAAGTTCCTTTGTGCGAGGACCACTATTGTTGTTTCTTCTATGGTTCTACCTAATGACCAGATTTAAATATTGCAGGGCTCAAGTTCAAGATTGCCTTTGGTACTTTCTGAGAAGGTGAATCGTACAAAGGTAATACAACTATGTTTCTTTGCACATGGTTTTACACTCGACGTTTATATATCTTTGTTATGGAAGCTGGTGACATTTATGTTCTGGAAAGGCCAAACTACGTCTATTTTTTGAGTTTTATTAGTTGATAAAGCACAGTGGTTAAGTAAACCAGTGAACAATATTTACAGGTACTTGTTGAATGTGAAGGTGACTCGATAGATTTGAGTGGAGACATGGGGGCTGTTGGACGAGTGGTTGTTTCAGACACAACCGGAGACATGTACTTGGACTTGAAAGGCATGTTCACTCATATATACATATCACTGGCTTCACTCTTTATGCTTTTGATTTTCGATTTCTCCCATTGAAACTCCAAAATGGTTCTCTTTTTATTTTGCAAAACATGTAGCAAAATCAGCTATGCCTCTTGAGTGTAACGGAACTGATTCGTTACAAGTAACAGGTTACATAATTAGTTCATGACTGGAGTTTCTTTAGTAACACGTTTTCATTTCATGTTTCAGGAACCATATATAAATCAACAATCATTCCATCCAGAACATTTTGCGTGGTACGTTTTTTGTTCTCCTTGTACCTTTTCGAATTGTAAGGGCACTTGTGGTATAATAATTCACAACAACGATCTTGTATTTCAGGTTAACGTAGGTCAGACAGAGGCAAAGGTTGGTAATTTCTATTGCGTTTTCTTGTTTCAATGCCGATACCATGTTAAGTTGTATATATTATTGCTCATAGATCTCGACTCTGTGTGCACTCTGAACTTTTGCGAAGCTAAATTTTAGCATTTGGTTGGGAAACTAAAACAGAAATTGGAGCGATAGCCTAATTTTTGCATTATATGTTCCCTTGTCAGATTGAAGCTATTATGAATGACTTCATACAGCTGACACCACAATCTAATGTGTACGAGGCAGAAACAATGGTAGAAGGTCAGCTCGTTTTCTCTCTGATAAAAGTGAAGACATTATTGCGAACTTGTCTTCTTGTAGAACTATTCTGGATATGGTAAACTGATTTTACACAAATGTCTACTTCTCCGGCTAATACAATTAACCCATTTAGGCACTCTGGAGGGATTTTCATTCGAATCAGATGATGAAACTAACAAAAACGCCAAGACTGCTTCAAAGCCAGCTGATCAAAGTGGAGGCACAGAGGAAGAAACCAACACAAAAGCCAAACCCAAAGCCAAAGCAAAAGGCGAAACTGTACGATGACAAAAACTTAGAATTTCCTTCTATGAAATCGACATAAATCCCTTACAGTAAAAGAATATTTGTTACATGTGGAATCTTCGCAGGTTATAGGAAAAAAGAGAGGAAGACCATCTAAAGAGAAGCAGCCACCAGCAAAGAAGGCTAGAAATTCTGCCCCGAAGAAGCCAAAATCCAAGAAATGAGTTGTGATTTTGATTTCTCCCACTCCTTTTTAAACGTATCATTTCATTTATTCAGTTGAGACAACATTATATACACATGAAATAGAGTTTTTACATATCAATTCAAACAATTCAAGGTAAATCTAAGGACTTTGATGAATGGAGTATAAAATCTCTGAGAAGACATTAAACATGGTCTGTCTGATTCCTCCACACGGTTATGTATCAATTCTCGATAAAAAGGAAGAATGGTGATGATTCATGTCGTGCCTGATTGTCTCAAAGCAGTTAGACTGAAGCCAAGAAGCAAGAAGACAGGGTAAGGTCGAAGAATATTGGATGAGGATTGACTCTGATCCTGAATTGGGGGATTCATATACTGGTCGTTTGGAACTTGGTTCACAGTGGGAGGAGGCATGAAGTGCCCATTCTCGTTTTGATTCTGAGGTGGGGGAGCCATTGATTCCCCGTTTGGTCCAGGTGGGTTCTGAGTGAGAGGAGCCATAGGTGGACCGTACTGATTCTGAGTCGGTGGAGCCATAGGTTGATTGTATTGATTCTGAGTGGGAGGAGCCATAGGTTGACCATACGGATTTTGAGTCGGTGGAGCCATAGGCTGACCGTACTGATTCTGAGGTGGAGGAGCCATAGGTTGCCCGAACTGATTCTGAGGTGGACTGGGAGGATCCGAGCTCTGACTGTCCGGTCTTTTTACCCTGGATTGTTACGGGGATAAAATCAATCAGAATCTGCAAACTTTTATAAAAAGTTGCAGACAGCATTGTAACAAACTCAAAAGTGAAAAGGCATATGATATAATACCTGCCAGGGCAGAAGATAATGGCATATTCAGAAGCCTTGCAAGTGAAAGTACTGGTTCCATCATCAAATGCATAGCTATAAGCTCTGGGACAAGCTCTCTTGAAAATGGAAGAGTAAAAAGACGGTCGGCATGTGGTCGGGTTAGCAAACTGACCGCTGCAACAGTACTGGTCCAACCCAAAGGCCTCACAAGCACTCTTGCATGCAACAACTCCTCTCTCTGCCTCTTCCTCTCCTACCACTTGAAGCTCCTTTGGACAGCTTATGTTGATATCAGCAACACATCCTGTAGCATTACAAGCTCCAATCAGTCCACCACCGGTCGGAAGAGCAACTATGGGAAGGTTATACCCATCAACGAGACTCACATCGTAGAAATCTTTGTCATCAGCACCATGACCGAGTGTGATCTCGAAAAGTGATGTTGGCGGAGCAGCGCCATTACCGGCACACTCAAGCTTCCCGCCACAGTCTCCAGTCATACATTTTCCCGCGCCGGTGGCATCAAAGTTGCAGCCTGTCCTTGCCCATATACGACCTGACCAGCCTAGAGCCGAGGGAATCCTAACAGACTGTCCCACATCAAGCCTGAACCCTGTGGTGGGTAATGGCTGGGTGCCAGAGCCTGCAAGAGTTCCGGGCCATATAGTAAAAGGACAGTTATTTGTGATGACGAACGTTGAGGAATAAGAAACAGAGAACAGTAGAGAAACATAAACAAGAACAGCCATGGGAACCATTGGTGATCTTCCCATTATGGTAAAAACGTTTTAAGATTTCAGAAATATGAATTTGACTGGGAGGTCCCTGGACAAGGGTTTATACCAAATAAAATGTTGAAGCCGTGAAGTTGCTTTAGATAGCTTCAAGCCGCAAGACAATGAATAAGGGTTTAGCATTACTCTTAGGAAACTGGTCTCTCCGACAAGGCAATTCTTTGCCTTACTTCCCCAACCTCTTTCAATCCGTATTATTATATGATCATAGAACTAATGAAACGATGTATCATGTAAGAGAATCTACACTAATTCCTTTTCAAACAAAATTGAAGTAAAAGCTTATTTCAGATCCAGGTTCCTTGACAATGGAGTTGATATAGTTATGAAAAGTTGAATAACCAAATATTATCTTTGGTAAAGGTATAAATGATAAAAAAATTTATTTAAAAAAAAATCCTAGCAATCAAATTTATATTTCTCAATTTATATTTTTAATACGAAATTCAATAATGAATAGTGGAAAAAATCAACAAAAAAAAGGAAAAAAATAGTGATTGTTACTAAATTAAGTAATTATTATCACTAGCTATTAGGGAGAAATATTCCCGTACCGTTATCTTATCGTAGCGGCTGAGTCAATATTTGATACTTTGCCAACTTCTTCAGAAGAGAATCTTTCACGATCCCAGGAAACCATCGAATACCTAGACATCCACCTTTCTGTCAGCTAAACTATTGTATTAAAATCCACGTTGAAAAGAAAAAAACAACTTGAAGCAATTAAACAAACCATTGAGGATTTTTACAAAGCTCTCTATGTTTCTATCTTCAAGTTGCTGCAAACCTAGAAAGTATATTCTATATGACGATTACTTAGTTTTTTATTATGTTTGAGTTAATTCAGATCATCATTGTACATATACTTCAGAGTAGGGTATTTTGTAAGGCTGCAGCCTAGGACTACAACAAACAGTTAGGAACGAGAAGGGTGTAAGTACGCTATGACTTACCAAGACTGCGATTTAGGTGGGACTCATGGGGGCAACATAAGAGCGCAGATTCCATCCGGGCCTCAGATATTACATACAAGCTATCTTCATCAGCAACTTAACAGTCTAAAGAGATTGTACCTGGTCATAGATATTGGACAAATATCAGAACCTCAGATATAGCCACGACAAAGTTACATGGCAGATGATAAGAAACATGAAAGTAAGGCAGGTACTGGTACAAAAGCAGAGCCAACATGTAAATGGAAAACGAAAGGTAACGGTAACAATTCTTTAAACATCATATCACATAATTACCATGTTTAGCTGATAGTTTTGAACACAGTTGGCCGGCCACATCCTCACTAGGTAGTTCATCATACCTATTTAATGCCGTCTTCCTTCTCACAGTTAAGGAGTAACAGCTTATGGTGCCAATGAATTTAAACCAAGCTTGTTGTTTCCTGCTGAGCACAAACACAAGAGGACCTGCAAAGTAAGGTTTAAACTTTCATCAGTTAGATTTACTCCTTTGATAAAGAAAATTCAAACAAGCAAATCAGTGTACATAAAAGAAGCACAATTAAACTCTCCTGAATTGCAACATTTGAAACCTGCACAAACAGAAAACATTTTCAGACCCAAATACTCATCGATCAAGGAAAGGAAAGTTGGAAAGAACACATGATTTGTTAGAATTAGGTTTCGATCAGAAAGGATTAAGGGGAATTTCCTACAAGATAACAAACCAGAAAATATCTTCAGGAATTGGTTAGCAATGTGTAAAAACCCTGTAGCGGTAGCACCACATTTACAGAAATCAGCCATGGTGTGTCAGGCTCTGCGTAAAGGTAGCCAAAACAAGTCTGAATAAAAGCCTGCCTAAATATCGTGTCCAATCACAAGAAAAAACTAAAGGTGCACAAGAAGAGACATCAAACATCAAGAACCTAAATGCAACAGCAGTAAGATCCAGAATAAAGCATTAGAATTATAAAGTCTCTCCTACATAAGTACTACATAAAGTTCAACAATACTAAGATAAAAGCTCTTTTTAAGGCAGGGAGGATATGCCTAGACCTCCCTGCAAGAGCAATAGCACAATGTCTCTTATCCATAGTTCTCCAAAAGAAAGAGAAAGGGAAGTTATTCTACGTAAGATAAAGAAGCCTCTCAGTCTCAGGATTTGAGGAGATCAACATGGATCTAAATCAACTCCATTCCGTCTCCAGCTGGGCTGCAGATGGGGCTCACAGCAGTAAAAGACCTCTCGAAAGGAGAAGCATGGAACTGAGCATCACGACGACGACGCTTAAACGAACAGCTCTCAGAAGGATGACTCTCAGCAGCGTCAAGCTTCCTCCGAACCCCTTTAACCGCCTGCTCCTCAACCGATGAGAGAGGGAAAATCCTCCCGCTGGCACGGCACAAAGAGCTATGGTTATCATAGAGAATCCGCTGGTTACAATTCTTGTCGCAGACATGAGTCAGCCCAGTTAGTTTGCAGCGATACATATTCCCACAAACAATTTCATTCTCACATTTCCAATCACATTTGTGACACTGATTGGGTCCATCGCAATCGCGACCCAGAATTGCAGACAAGTAAATAACATTGGCAGATGTAACCATGGGAGATTTTCCAAATACCTCCATCTTATTCCTTGAATCTGAAAAAAGCTCCACAACAACCTTTATATACTCTGCAGAAACCGAAGGAAGCCGAAGAATCAACCATCAATATCAACGTAGATCACTCCACATTTTAGCTAATCAATTCTTCAAAATCACATCAAATCTCGAATCTACTTGAACGCAATTAAGCTATAGACTACAGATTCCACGATTATCCAAAATTCGAACGTGAAATCAAAGTGCAAGCTACAACAGATAGCTACCAGATCCGATGGTAAGATGAAGAAGATTCTCCACGAATTTAGAAATTTTCAGAAGCAAATTACACAGAGAAGAGAGATAAGAGAGAGCGAGAGAGATACATACCTGGATACAACGAAACCCTAATTTTGACTCGAGAGAGAGAGAGAGAGCAAAGAGGAAGAAGAAGAACAAAGTGAGGGAAGAAGAAGATGGTGAAGATATTTATAGATTAGAGAGAAGAACTAACACTGTCTTCCAACGGATAATATGATCTTAACTCCGTTAATTAACGGTCGCATTAAACGGGTCCCACCAGTGATTTTTTTCCATTTTATATTAATTGTTTATTCATTTTTGAGGACATGTATGTACTTAATTAAAGTTTTAATTCGTCTACTAATTTCGTTTTTTGTTTTGTCTTATCGAGAGAAAGAGATTATTTATCACGTGTCAGTTATTCAATGGTAATATTTTAAACCAAACCCGCGCGGAACAAAAAATCCCCACCCAAATTTCACCTATTTTATTTTCTCTCTTTTTATAATTACCTATTTGACTCTATGCGATATTTATAATTTGAAGCTATTTTATTGGTTAAAATAGTAAATATGATAATGAGATAACCATGTTAAATGAAGTGGATAAACGGTAATTTTTTCGCTGAAATTGAAAACGAAATTAATACTAATAGAAAAAATAAGTGATGCCGTAAAATTAATAATAATTAATTAATTCATAGAAAAAAATATGAAAACGAAAGAAAAGGAGAAACGGTAAGAAGAGTGCAATGACTTTGGCCTACCTAACCCCCGTCTTCTTTGCTCCTTCACATCCTTTTCCACTTGTTTAACGTATAACAAAGTTTTGACTTTATTATGGTCAATGTTTATCTGATTTGGGCTTTAATAAAGCCCACTTGCAATTCTACAAAAATTGGACCTTGAATCGGGAGGTCAACTGATGTCAAAATTGTCAGCTAATCCTTAAAATTGACAGAATTTATAAATATCAATACAGTAAATTAAAAGACTTAACCTGTGGATAATTTTTAAGAAAGAAATTTCTAAAATCGTTTTGATAGGTAACCTAAATTTCTAAAATCGTTTTGATAGGTAATACTATAAATGAATTTATATGTAAACATTTTTAGTGGTTATTACTTATAGTAGTACTGTACCTACACAGACACTCATGTATGTATAAACCACGTGTAAACGTAATAGATAAACCCACGTGAAGAGAGGTACGTACGTAGGCTAACTTCAAGACAGATCCGATAATAGTTGAAACTAACACAAGACTGATTAAATTTCTTTTTCATAACAAGTCAACGAAAGTCTTTATTAATGGTAATGTTAACGGTAACATGTCACACGCTCCCAATTAAATGCTAATCTAACTAAGCATTGTTTTCTTAGCTAGCTCCCCAAGCCTCCCATAGGACTACTCTTAGGACCTGGTGGTAGTAGTTGTGGAAACTTGATGAACATGCAAGTGACACATAAACAACTCTACTTTCTACCAAGTGGTACCACAACGTACACAAATAAGAAAATTTAACAAAAAAAAGTACACAAATAAGTTATTAAAAGAAAATTTCCTCCAAGTCAAAGAAAAATTTGTTTTTTCTTCTTTTAACGTCCGGGTTATATATTATAGTAATTGCTAAAAGCCCAGAACTTTTGTGTTTTAGAAGAACAAACAGTTCCCGTGACAAAAAAAAAAAAAAAAAAAAAAAAAAAGAACAAACAGTTTTCTTAAGATGGTAAAGGACAAAAATGCCAAAAAAAATTAAATTGGACACTAATGAATAGGATTGGTACAATACAAGACAAATTGAGTGTTTGTCTATCATAAAATGAAATTTAGTTTGGGAGGAGGATACTTACAAAGAACTTAATTTCGTCACTTTCCATTACAAATTTGAACTTGAAGTGTTAACCACTTACTAGCACAGTAGCACTCTACATGCATTGAAATCTAGGACCATGATGCATTGATGCTTGTAGTTGTGGGATTTTCAGAATCTTACATTTTCTTAATGGCCGTGACAACTTTTGATCACCATAATTTTCTGTCTTTTTAGAAAATTTATATAAGTGAGTTTATTGTTGTTCTAAACTTCTAATAATAATAAGAAAAATGGCAACATTGTTATGGTGGGGAACCCTCGAGGAATATTCCGATGCCAATTCAGCTGTGAAATGAAGATAGACGACAGACGTCATAGAAAGTAGGGCCTCTAGTGGGCCGTGCATGTTCTTAAAAGTTTTCCACTTTCCTCACATTTTTCCCCTTTTTGGTCTTTTTCAATTTACAGCTACATTCATTTTTTTAACGGTCCAAAATCAGCTATTTTAAATTTTACATTTTTAAATCTATTCTAAATTATACACACTATTATCAATTAAATTTGCATTATGGTAGATCAATGGTTTATAAATTAATTTTTTAAAAATCACGATAAATAGTATGTTGTTATTATAAGAAATACTAGATAACAACCCGCACTATGTGCGGGATGAAGTGATTTAAGTAAAATTATTATGATTAAAATTATTATCCGGGATCCAAGATCTGTTTGTGTAAAACGTAACATGTAATAATTTTTTTTTGTTTTATTCAAACTTGGGACTATTTATATAAGAATACGTTTTACCCGTGGAATATTTGAACCTTAAATAAAGCTTCAACGTGATAAAGAAATTATTGACGAAATATTACCATTTATGGCAATATGTCTTTCCGTATGTTTTAAAGATTTCGAGATTTTTTATTATTATTTAAGTATAAGAAATCTAAAAATTTAGCAAAGATGATATTTGATAGTTTCCGAGTTAAGATTTTGTAGTGTTCCAAATATAAGATTCTTATATTATGAATGAATTATTTACGAAATAGTTATAATGTGACCGTTTGACCAAAAAACGAGGTTATAATGTGGCCATATTTTGGTTTATATATAAATGTGGTTATAATGTTTTTCTTCGAAAAGTTAGAACTACTCCAAAAAAATCGGATTTTAAGTATCCGTAACATGTATAGAAAAGAGATTATCTTATTTATTTAAGTACAATAGATATAAAATTTTATGAAAGATTTAGAGATTTTGTAGTTTTGAATTCGAGATTCTTGAACAAAATGTATATCTTTTATCATTTAAATATAAGCATAAATATATATATATATATATATATATATATAAATAAAAAGATTTTTTACCCATCGGCTAGAGAAGATTTATATAAATGTATATAAAGAAAAATATAAATATAAAAATTTATTAATATAAGATAAACACAATTTTTTTCCTTTTTAATTATTGAAAATAGATTATTAATATAAATAAACAAAGATCCCGTGATTTGTTGTTAAATATAAATATGATATCAGTTGCCTAATTATTTGCTTTTAATTATAATTTCGTTTTTTTGTTATTTGTATGATATATATATGTATTAAGACTAATGGCAAAATCTGTAAATAGTCTAGTAAAATTTGGGTTAAAATTTAAATGGGTGAAAATTTACTCTGAGAGCGACATGTCAGCATGGCAGTTTAGTTAATAACACGTCAAAATAAGGTTTATTTTATAAAGTGCTTCTCTATTAATATATAAGGGATATCTTTTGCAAATGAAGGTCTGTAGTTTAAAATTTAAAATTATTATTTCATTATGTCATAGTAATAATAGATATCTTTTGCAACTTTTTTAGTTAAAGAAAACTTTCGCATGCTTTGAGTTGTGAGTTGTTGAAAGAAAAAACTTTTGGAGTGTGAGTTGTTGACAAAAAAATTAAACACATCTTTGCATGCTTTTTTGTTTTGTTCACCAACTAGGATCGGACCCGCGGTCCACCGCGGGAGAATATTGGTTTACATACGTTGCGTTTAATATTGTGTTTGTTTTTTAGTAGAATGAATCGTGTAGTATACTTATAAATATTCACAATAACGAATTGTAGAGAAAATGTAAAATTGTTTATAAATATACCCATCGTATTAATTATGATTTACAAAATAGAATTTGGTGTTTTAAAATTCTAAAATTAGACGATTCATGGGAATTAAAGCAGTCAAAATAGGTCAAAAACCGCGGGTCGAGCCCACATCATCTCACTATGGGGCAGATTGAGAAAATATATTAAACCCGCAAATAAGCGGGCCACATGGATTAATTCGAAGTGGGTCATAGGTTTAATCGGTTTTCATCCGCGGGTTGGCGGATCAGCCCGCATATTAGTATTTATTGATAAAATTATAATTTATTCAACATGTGGTAATTTAAACAAACTTTTAATAGTATTTTTATTTATTTATTTATTTTAGTAGTATTTTAAATTTTGGTTACTTTAAAATTATTTAAACAAAATCCATGGACAATCCCGCAAATCCGCATACATTCGAGGGACGGGTTTGTATTTCATATATCTTTCAATTAATGATAATTGGCTAAAATGAGCAAAATTAATGACAAAAACGTTGATTGTTATGGAATTAGTCCCAAAAATATATGAACAAATTTATTATACGTAATTAATGTATAATATTGTTCGGAATATGCTTTTATTTTTAGTTACCATAAGTATAATCAGATTTTATTTGATTTCCATAAATATTTGATTTTATTTTTATTTTTCATTATTAATTCGAATTTATATTCCAAAAAAATTTCAAAGATCCGATTTCAGAAATTGGGTCAATTTTCTGATTTTAACCCGACCCATTTTCATTTGTACTTCTCTTTTAATAGTATAGAGATGGACTTTTAGATTTAAAAATGGTCTGCATAAATAAATAATAAGGTCGTGGATACGAAACTAATTATTATTTTAATATTGTTTACATTTATATTTTAAATAATATAGAGTAAATCAATAAAATTCATATTTTAAATACTTTAATATTTGTTTTTCAACGAATTCGTACAATTGATTTAGGAATTATCAATAAAAGCTTTGAAGATGTTTTTTAATTATATTTTCTGGTAATTTTGAATTAAAACAAAATCAATGGTATGTTTAAGAATACCTGTATTTATTGGTTATAAGGTTAAATATGGAAGATCCAAGACAACCATATTAACAAATTCTGACTATTTCTTTTTGATTTGTAAAATAAAAAAATTTATAGTTTTCTAGTCATTATAATTTATAAGTGTTTCGGAATTCCCGTGAATTGCAACTGAACTTTTAGTATTAGTGGTTCTAGGCCTAGCAATTGGAGTATTTGTAAAGTGCAACACTAGATTTTTGCATCCAATAGTAAAGGGTGGTTAAAACTTAAAATGATGAAAGATTTTCGAAATTTCAACTAGATGTCAAATACAATTTCAGTTAATTAATCAATTACAATAATTTTATATGTTTGGTAACAAAAACATTGGTAAATCCGAATGACAAATGGCAACGGTTAGTCCAAACTTAACAGCTAGGATTTGTATACATACTGTATTTAATTAACACATATAAAGACTCAAATCTATAAATAGAGGTATAGAGTGAGAGGAAACGCCTAAGAATCCGGGAAGCTCAAAACAAAAATTGAGAGAAAGAGATAGCATTAGATACGGGAAGGTCCACGTAAGACCCGTGCTTCACTTTGATATCTCTCAATCTCCTTCAAATTTTTTTTTTTTTTATCAAATCTTTGATCTAAGATGATGAAGCGTGAGTATTTAGATTACACACTTGTGCCTTTAGGGCTTGGTTTGATGGTGTTTTATCATCTTTGGCTTCTCTACCGTATCATCCACCGTCCTTCTTCGACTGTCGTTGGCCTCAACGCCTTCAATCGCCGCCTTTGGGTCCAAGCCATGATGGAGGTCTTTTTCTTTTTCTCTTTCTTTTTATTTTCTTTTTATATATCATATTTGTTTGCTTTTGGTTCTTAATTTATATTTATATGTAGATTTTTTTTGGGAGGGTCAAATGTGTAGATCTCTCTGTATGTTTATGCATGAGTTGATGATCATTTTTTCCCTGGAAAATGCAAATTTATTTTAGCTGATTTGGCTTTATATTTTGAGGGTTGTTGGAGATAACTAAGGAGAATCTTGTGCATATCATATGTGGATGTGTATGTGTTTTATATAAATTGCATATAGTGTTAATTGATAAGTGTATTGAATATGAGTGAATTGAATAAGATGTGATAAATGATAAGTGTATGCATGTGTAGAGATTTTCCTGGGAAAGAAAATTTTGTCAACGGTTACTAGCTAGTTCCTTCTGCGTTGGAGGATGTGAGGTTGAGATTTTATGTCACTATATTATGACTATATGTGCATATATATTTATTTATATAAAGTATATGTTTTACATAAATATGAGTATAAGTCTTTAACAAAAAAAAAAAAAGAAAAAAAAGAGTATAAGTATAATCATCATGTATGCACCTCAAAAATTGATATATTGAAAGTTGAAACAGTATCAAGTTGTTTTTCTTTCTTTTTTTGCTGAGATCTTTTCTTTTCTCATATATGAACATAATTATGTTAAAGTTCTTTACGTAAATGCCCGATTCTGGAAATTTCCTTAATAAATGAGTCCACGAGTGTGAAAGCTAAATAACACTCAAAAGATGCTTTGCATTTCTGGGAAACTTTTTTTGAAAAAATGTTAATAACTATATTATTTTCTCCACCAATTTTTTGCCTTTTTTGTTGATTCAGATTTCTTGTACTAATAGATAACAACTAGCTTATGTATCTGTTTACAACCATTGTTTACAGGACTCATCAAAAAATGGCGTTTTAGCGGTTCAAACGCTAAGGAACAACATAATGGCGTCAACTCTATTGGCATCAACCGCAATAATGTTGTGTTCACTAATCGCGGTACTAATGACAAGCGCTACAGGAGAGCGATCTGTCTGGTTTGTGTTTGGTGACAAAAGTGATCGAGCCTTCTCGCTCAAGTTCTTCGCAATCCTCGTGTGTTTCCTAGTCGCGTTTCTCCTCAATGTGCAATCAATTCGTTATTACAGCCATGCAAGCATCCTCATCAATGTCCCCTTTAAACAGCTGATGGCTGTTTCTTCAGGTGGTCGTGGTAACGGTAGTCTTATGATAAACCAAGATTATGTGGCTGCAACGGTTAACCGTGGGAGTTACTTCTGGTCGTTAGGACTAAGAGCATTCTACTTCTCATCGCCTTTGTTCCTTTGGATCTTCGGTCCCATCCCCATGTTCATCACTTGTTGTGTTCTTGTTTGTTCGTTGTACTTCCTTGATTTAACGTTTGACTCGATGAAATGTAGCGTTGGAGCCGCAGACGCGGAGGAGCCCGAGGTCAGAAGCTTAAATGTTTAGTAGTTTTATGAGTGAGTAACAATGGTTAGGGATTCAGAAATATTGAGGAGAGTTTTGTTCAATGGAACATATTTATGTTGTATTGATTCAGGTTCAATGGTAGTTGAACCGTGTCAAAGAGTCACTTTGTAACTAAGTGAATAAAATTGTTGTCATTTAACCGTAAAATTGTCAATTTGGTGAATATATGGAGACCATATATACCATATTTTTTTCGATGAATTCTGGATCTTATCTCTTCGTTGAAACCAATATATTTGATGCTTGCGGTAGAAATCATACATGTCCCTTTGGACCATACCATGTTTATTTTCAACCATTTACTTCAAACTTATGGAAAATTTAGAACCAATTACAATTTAATTAAATATTTTAAAATTCAATTGGACATGCATCAAAAAAATCTATAAATTTTACTTAGCTTTTTCCTTTTCCGTTTAAAAGGGTAAAATAGTACTAGGAGGTCACATAATTATTTTTCTATCAACCACACGTTAATTGTTTGAGATCTCCTTAAAAGCTTTTTATAAAAAGGACATGTGTTTTTAATGAAACTAGGACGAAACCCGCGCTACGCTGCGGGATATTTTTTGGATTATACTTTTTTAGTAGAAATATAAATTTATAATAATCAAATCAAATTGTATAAATTTAAGTTTGTTAAGCGAAATGTAGCTAAAGCACCAAATATTAACTGAATTTATATATCAATATGACTTTTATAACTTTGTTTCATAAAAACCATAGTATAAGATTAACTATTTCCTTCTCGAGCACTCCACCAGAACTCCCACATTTGGTTTCGCCATGGAACGTTGGTCTCTTGCTTCTCTGAATCTTGCCTTCTTCATCGTCACAAATCCAGTTTCACTGCTTTGTCCGTGAGCATTTTCCTTGTCATATGATTCTTTGTCTATAGAAGACTTATGTCTGTTGGAGTTCATGGAAATGGTTTCTTCTATATGTTTTGGTCTCAGCTCATGTAAAGAAGCTTCGTTCTTCGAGGATGATTTACGTTTTTCGTTGTACCGGGATACTTCGGGGCTGAACTTTGCTTTTTCTTTTGGTTCCCAAAATTATGGTTCCTACTTGAAGCTTGATTATTGTTTCAATTCTTTCTTTGAGGCATTGAACAATCTAACTAATAACTGCTTTTTCATTTTTTGGTCTGAATATGACCTCCTTGGCCTAACATGTAAAATAGAGAAAATGTCAATGAGAACTAACAGAATCTAAAGTCAACACATAACTATCCAATTGATAATAACTGACAACTGAATTTCATCTAATTTAAAAGTGATCCACACAAGTTTCTTTCTTTAGACTACAGATGATGTGGCAAGCTTGTCGACTATGATATGCAGTAATGATGTCTCATTTTTTAGATGGTTCAAGAATATTACTTACCGTGTCTGCGGCAATGTAGTCATTTGATTCTAACCTGCCAAGACCAATAGTCTCTTGCTTGCTCTTAATTTTTCGAAATGTATCAGAACTAATTTTGTCCTCTGTGTCACTCTCGTCAATGATTAACTCATCTTTCTCAAAAGAAGAATACCCAAGTTCTTGATAAACTCTATTTATAGATGCGGCGAGCTAACTCGTCCTAGATGATTTAGCTCTCAAATTCTTACAAGCTGTGTTTTGGTATTCGAGATCAATTTCTTGTCGAAGCTTCGCCTCCTCGTTACAGACCTCAGTATGAATTGTCTTTCCTTCTCTGAAAACATAAAACCCAAAATCACAACAACAAAAAGCATAGTCGTATTCATATGTCGAAGAAATATAATAAGCCCAACATTTTATTGACAGCTGAATAATAATAAGCCATTTTGTTCGTTTGCTTTTAAAATAAAACGACTAAACAATTCACAAATATGTCAATATAACTTGGTTCATGACTTAAAATTAGAATGTTCAAAGAAAATATTTACGGTTTGTAACTTGTTCCATAGCTACGTTCTTAGCATTTGAAGGGAGACTTGGAATACTCCATTGCGTTATCCTTTGACCCAAAAAAAAAGATGAAACAGTGAGAACAAAGGGAGAAATTATGTATATTTTACATTTAATTTAGTATAATACCTACAGCGTTTTTGTTCTTAGGATTCACGTCTAAGCTTGTTTCTACATAGAGAGAAACAACAACTTTAAACAGAATTCACAAAAAGGAGAAGATAATGAATCTAGAATCTTCTTAACATCCCAACAACACTTTTAAGTATCTTCATCCTTTAAATTCCCCTTCTTGGATTATTTGTATCCTGTATATTAACAGATTAGATTCATTGAAATGAAAACTTGTTATTAATCTTTTATACTAACCTATTGGAACAAAAGAATATGTTCTTACAGAGGCTCTTTTAACAATTATGGCATGCGTAGAGGAGGATTGATTGCTCCTTGTTTTCCTTATGTATAGAGGTTCATAAACTGCAAAAGTGGAGAAAAATTAAAGCTTTAATTCACCAAACTAAAACTCTCGACTAATTGACATCAAAAACAAACTTACCAAAACTAAAACTCTTGAAGAATTTTCGGAAACTTATGGACTTAGACGAACTGTACCAAATTCAAGAAAATTTAGAGATCGACAAAAAAAAAAGATGCTGGAAAGAGGACAATTTGTTTGAGTCAATCAATAGTAAGCCCACTTCTAAATAATAATAAGCCTTCTTCTCAAACAATAAGCCCAAATATAGTGAGATAAGCTTTAGAAAAATGACGTGGAACATAGAAGAATTATTATTGGCCCAGAAATCTGACATGTATTAATCCAAATGTTTCTATTGGAGGTTGATTTTAATTAGGTGTCACTCTCAAAACAACTGAAAAAGCTGATGTGTCAACCTAGGAGAGAAACTTAGTGTTATTATTGTATTGATTTACGATGACAAAAAAATAAATAAATAAGACAAATGTTAAATCCATAAAAGTCAAACTAATAAATTTATAATTTTGGAGATTTCATTTTTAAAAAATACTATATATATAGTGGATATTATTTTTTATTGTTTTTTTCTTTCTCTAACTAACTTTGAATGAGTTAAGTGTATTCAAATTATATTTTACTTTACTGTCAAAATTAAGATTAAAATATATATTTTTCTCCATTTCTTTCCTCTACCATTTGAAACTAAAGGGTGTGATTGGTAAAGTAAAAATAACAGGTGAAAAAATATTTACTTTGAATTCCTTTACTTTTTCACCAAACAAATTAAAAACTTTTAAAAATGATTTATTCAACTGGTTTCAGGTAAAAAGAAGAAAAAACAGAGTAAAGTTGTCTTCTAAAAAATGTAGAGTAAAATTATTACACTATAATTCAGTTTTTCTTGCCTTTACTTTTTTAAATTTAATTAAGGGAGATTTTTATAAATATACTAAATTATATAAGAAATTTGAAAACTAAACTAAGTGATATGGTAATTTGAATAGTACTCTTTTTATATTCAAACTTTACCATAATACCCTTTTATTAATTTAAGTAGTATTTAAATTAATAAATTACAAATAATATAAAAAATTTAAAATAACTAAAATTTGTTTTTATTAATTAATAGTAAAAATTAAAAACTTATTTACAATGTTTGGAGTAATCATATACTATCTAAAATATTGAATAGATAAAAAATAAAAAATATTATTGTTGATAATATTAGTACAATTTGTAACTTACTTAAAATTTATAATTAAAAATTATATAACTTATAATAAATAAATTATTATTTTTTGGTAAATTTCTTCATTCTAAATCGATTTATTGATAAAGTCGATTTTTTTATCTTTCGACTTATTTTTCACTTTTGTTGACTTAATTTTTTTTTCTGTCGACTTATTTTACAACACTCGACTTATATTTTAACTAGTTGATTTACAAAATACTCGATTTTTTGAACTATTAACTTATTTATTTTGTTCATTGATTTATAATTTTTGCTGTCGACATGTTTATTCATGGTAGATTTAATTTATTCTATGTTGACTTACTAATAAGATCAATTTTTTAAACTGTCGACTTATATTTTATTTATTTACAATATCAATCAACCAAAATATCAGTCGACTGTTTTAAAATACGTCGATAGAAAATAAATTTAGTCGATTTTAAACTATTGACTTATTTAATTTTACATTGATTTATTGATAAGGTTGATTTGTTGAACTGTCGACTTATATTTTATTTTTGTCGAATTAATTTTATTCTCTATAGACTTATATTAAAACAACTGACTTGTATTTTGGTTAATTGATTTTTGGGGCTTTTGCAAAAATGCCACTTTTCAAAAATACCCCTTTTTTAAAACCTTACAAAAAATGCTCTTAAAAATATAAAATTTACCCAAATATGTATGTAATATTATTAAAACATACACAAACTACATTTCTACGTATCTAAAATCTTATAAATACTTTATAAATACCTTATAAATGCATTTAAAATACCTTTAAAAACCCTTAAAATATCTTGTAAAACCTTTGAAAAACCTTAAAAATCCTTTAAAATAACTTGTAAAACCTTTAAAAACACCTTATAAAACCTTATAAATACTTGGATCGATTCTTCAAGTAGTAGTTACAATCCATAAGTACCTTATAAACCTAATAAAACTTTATAAAATTTTCGGATTTAAAAAGGGGCATTTTTGAAAATGGACATCTAAAAGGGGCATTTTTGAAAAGGGGCACACCAAAAAGAGTATTTTTAAAAATTTCTCTTGATTTTTTACATTTTCGATTCTTTTGAACTGTTGATTTGTTTTTTGTTTTTGAATAGAGATAATATTTTTAGTTATAATATTTAAATTATTTATTTTAGGATAATTAAATTTAACTTATATAATTTATATTTGTAATAAATTTAAAATAAATATAGTGCATATATATTATATATCTCGAAAATATTAACTATAAAAATTTCTAAGAAAATATTTTTGAATTATATATAATTAAAATTCTTAGTTAATATTAAACCAATCATGATCCAAAATATTAACTACATCAACCCAAAATCTAGATAATTTTATTCTATAATTAAATTCATAATTTATATCGTAATTATTAGTTTAGTTCCATCATTATCTAAAATTTTCACAAAATAATAATAAAAAAATTTTGAGTATATAATTTTTTAATATGAACAGTTTACTTGTGAATTTTAAATAGTATTTGTAAAAAAAATAACTACTCTAATTATTTTTGAGAAATTGTTAAAAATGCCCTTTTTTCAATACTCCTTTTCAAAAATGCCCCCTTTGAGAGTCCATTTTTAAGTTTGCCTTCTTTTAATTTTTAATGACCATTTTACCCTTATTTGAAACAAAATTAGGTCCACAAAATACAAAATATTTTTTGGCGGGAAAAGTGATCCCGCAATTTTCCCGCCAAAACACTTGTAAAAACTTGTAAAACCTTTTAAATACCTTGTAAAATTTTCCCGTAAAAAAGTTTCCCGCCAAAAAATTTTTTTTGCGGGAAAAGTTATTCCGCAATTTTTTTGGCGGGAAAATTTTTGGCGGGAAAAATTTACAAGGTATTTTAAAGGTTTTACAGAGTATTTACAAGTGTTTTGTAAGGTTTTACAATGTATTTTAAAAAGATTTACAAGGTACTTATAAG